TGTCTCCGAGGTTGCTCTTGTTAATTCAACTGTGTACATCAATAACCAAACCTCAGCTTTTATATTCACAATTCCAGCTTTCTTTTCTCTGAAACGAAAAAGAGCGTTAACGTGCCCTTCAGGATAACAGAAACGGGTGCCCATTGACCTTGAAACCCTGGGTACTGATCGATTGGAGATTGCTTTTACCGTTGTCGATCGAAATAATATTCTATTGAGTAGTATGGCTGACTCGAAGCTAGTGATTAATATATTGGATTATAATGAATACAGTCCAGGGATATTAAATGATGGAGCTGAATGTTCGATTGCGGAAAATCTTCCGGTTGGAAGTGAGGTACTTCAAATCGAAGCCCGTGATCCAGATTTCTCAGCAACAAGGCTCAATTCTTGTAATCTTAAATAACACAGTTTTTCTTCTGTCTCAAGAAATACTACCAATATATCTATGCGTCTGAAATGAGAGCAAAGTTTAGGGACAATGTGTTCTTTGAGTTCATTGTGCGGTTTCGAATTCCGATTTCTTAAGGTCCTATTCCCTTGTTTTAATGGGCATTCATGACCCGAAAAATAAACTTTACGTCATGAGAGTCACATGAATAATTGTCGCTTTTTGCATTGAGGATGCAATATTTAATTAAAGAGAAATGTTACTGTCATAAATAGATACTTTAAACAGATTTTCCACTCTCTGGGATGTGCTTTACTGGAAATGGACATTTCAGAAGATTATTGTATATACATCAATTAGTGGCCACACATAGCTTGGTTTCGCATGTAGGAAGGAGAACTAGTTTGGCTGTATTGAAATTCGATGGGCCAAGAAGTGGACGCCAAACCATCGGTGAATAGATCACAATCCGACTGAGTGTCCAGTCATTAATTTGAAGTCAATCATTATAACAACCACCATGCAACTACTAATCGAGGGGTTACGAACAATGACATTTTTTAATGAGAGAGGTAAAGTATAAAAGTTTATCGACTTTAAAATATCAATTTTTCTCCTTATTGCTGTAATTCGACAACTGTAATAAGAAGAATTGTGAATCCGCACCTCTTAAGTCTCGTGTCAACAGCCTTTCAGTTGTGATTGGAGGCAGCGCAATGTGGTGGTTGGGAATGAGGTGATTGGTGGGTTTTGTGGGGTTAGTGCGTTGGGGGGTGAGGGGGAGAGGTTGTATGTGAGTTACGCCTACTATGCGGACATTCAACCCCACAACTGCAATATATTGGGTTGGCAACTAAGGCATTGCCGTTTTGTTGACAGATTCACTCTATACTTTCTTTTGTTTTGTTAACGTGGCCAGAGCATCTAACCTATATTTTTTTCTTACTGTATGGGCTTCTAGGTTAATTAGTAAAACATTTTTTTGTTTAGTTCTTTAGTTTTGTTTTTATCCCAATTTAAATATGAAAGAACAGGACGTGCACTTCCGACACATTTTATTGTATTACTTCCGAAAAGGCAAAAACGCATCGCAAGCACAAAAGAAGTTATGTGCCGTATATGGAGATGAAGCCTTAAAAGAAAGGCAGTGTCGAAATTGGTTTGAAAGATTTCGTTGCGGTGATTTTTCACTGAAAAATTCACAACGATCTGGCCGCCCAGTCGAAGTGGATGAAACCCATATCAAGGCCACTATCGATTCAAATCGTCACAGCACAACACGAGATATTGCAGAGAAGCTCAATGTGTCGCATACATGCATTGAAAAAACTAAAAACCCTTGGTTATGTCAAGAAACTTGATTTATGGATCCCTCACCAGTTAAAGGAAATTCATTTGACGCAACGGATTAGCATCTGTGATTCGCCGCTACTGAAACGCAATGAGAATGAGAATGATCCATTTCTGAAGAACCTAGTTACTGGCGGCGAAAAGTGGATAGTTTATAACAATTTTACTCGCAAGAGAGCATGGGTGAGGCAAGATCAACCAGCCCAAACTGTATCAAATGCAGAGATTCACCAAAAACAAAAAATTATGCGGTCAGTCTGGTGGGATCACAAAGTAATTTTGTATTTTGAACTCATGCCGCAGAACCAAACGATAAATTCAAATGTGTATGTTGAAGAACTCGAAAAACTGAAGGATGCAATTGAAGATAAGCGGCCGGCATTATCAAATCGGCGGAAGGGTGTTGTTTTCCATCATGATAACGCAAGGCCCCACACATTTTTGGTTACTCGGCAAAAATGATTGGAACTGGGTTGGGATGTTTTGTCACACCCACCATATAGCCCTGACCTTGCGCCTTCGGATCACTATTTTTTTCGTTCCATGCAAAACTCTTTAAATGGTAAAATTTGTAACAACGCGGATGATGTCGGATCACACCTAATTCAGTTTTTTAATAGCAAAGACCAGACATTTTACGAACGGGGAATTTTTACTCTGCCAGAACGATGGAAAAAGTTCATCGACAAGAACGGCCAATATCTAATTGAATAAAGTTATATTTTTAAACAAAAATTCCGAATTTGCCTTCTTATTTGAAATCGGCAATGACTTAGTTGCCAACTTAATACTAAATTTCCTTCGATAGAAATTGATTAAACCGATGGAAGTACTTTTAAGATAAACAACATTTACATAGCTGACATCCGTTTTGATTCATTTTGCAAACCACCTAAGGGAATTCCAAATTAATCTAACTGAAACTAAATAAGCCAGCCAAGGTATAATCGAGTCACTGTCAAAATAAAAATCAGGGTGTTATGAAAATGTCGAACAGAGAATACATTTTTGCACCACACAATTGACAATTTGATAGCAGAAGACTTCGGAATGTGACAAGGTGTTTCCCAAAAGTGAACACATTTTAATCCCAAAAGCGCTGAAGTAATGGTTGGTTTAATCGCAACTAAGCTCTGCAATGCTACGAAATACGAGAACCTGTGTAAAATCAACACTCAAACTCCCCTTTTATCAACGTACAATTCGAGGTTAGGGAATTTACATTGCGATAAGGAAAATGAAAATACTATTCTCTGGATAGAGGGAGCTATTGGGGGTCTTCAAAGCCTTTTATTTTTAGGATAGGGGTGCACGTGATGCAACTCATACGACCAAAAGCCCATTAACCAGCAGTTGATTACTGACTTAAAACAATCATGATCCCACTACATGTTATATTCGACCACTTCCACAGTACTCATCTTACCTTTTCTCCGCCTTCGTATATATCTGTCTGTCTGTCTCTTTTGCATCTGTGAATTATTATTCTGCCTCCCTGTCAACTTTTTGTCACTTTGATGTTCCTCCTCCTTCTCTCTGTGAAGCCCGAAGTCACCTAAAGGGCTAATGATAACCAACAAAACGCCTACCTGTCTGTGAAAACAGAGTCGACAGATAATTATCCATTAGGGTACATCCGGTAGCGCATGTGTCCAACTGTTCTTCTGCCAATGCTCTTGTTTATAAGAGCTACGAAGAACAGTTTCTAAGTTTCGGGATAACTTCTTTTCACCTAAGTCAAGTACTGCGTATACAACTATAACTATATTTTTAATCATAAAGTTCTTCCACAATTAACACAGGATCAAACAGACCAGCTGAGGGACTTTTACTCCAAGTTGAAGTACATTACTCCAAGCGAACGAAGACAACTATGGACAGAAACGAGACTCTCCTTAATGAAAGTACGTAGAAGCATTTCAAGCTAAAAATTTAATAGATTCCAATGGTTTTTTGGTGTCTACTAGACGACCTAGGAATAAAGCCTCTAGACAATTAAGATCCCCTCAAATGCATAAACATGCAGAGTTATTGGTGGGCAAATTCTACTTAAACGAAGTTGCATCAGGGGTAAATAGGTTGGTAAAAAACATTCGATTGGTCACCTTGGCCATAGAGCAGCTCACCAATCCTTTACGATTCAAAACGCCTGCCAAAAAGTATTTGGTGCAATTCACGTGATGATTCATGCAATCTTAATTCTTCCATTTGATGTACTAATTCAGAGAGTAGCTTACAATTTGAAATCCGAATTATTTGAAGAAGGACTCCATGTTAAAGTGCTGTAACTCTCAGTGTACTTTGTTCACCTCCGTTGTCATTTTCCAAAATTTCTGTTTTCTATTTGTATTAGTGTAGGTGAAAAATGAAAGTTTGAAAAACAAACATCTTATTAGGGTCATAAGACACCGAATTAGGGGAAACTGGTACAGCAGGGCATAGTAGGTAAGGACACGAAAGTTTACTGGAAGCAGTAATATTTACTAAATAAGTCAGAAAATGTAAAAAATGGTGTTTAATAATAGTGCCTTTGATTGCACTAATTGTTTCTTTAAAAGATGGCAATCTTTATTTTATCTCACAGGTTGAAAATTTTCCTCAATGTTTATCAACTATTTGATATTTAAGGCCACCTCCTGGTTTAGTCGCCAAAGAATTAAGGAGAGAACGTCCTTATTTTTAANTTTTGAGCGACTTTCTAACGAAAGTGAACCAATCTCGAATTGAACTCATTTTGATGACTGTTCATAAGCATTTGCGTTATCAAGCCAATATGACTGTGAAGTAAACTGGCACATTGATCTTCCACAAGGAACTTCAAGTTTCAGTCAAAAGTATTCTCCTACATTTGGAATTACTAAGTCTCCTGTTAATCAGCTGAACTGTGAAACAGAATATAGCTCAGGTTCTTCCATGGATACTTGTGTAAACAACAGAAATGAAAATTCGACAGTGAAATAACTTTTGGTGCATCCAAAGGATTATCATCTAACAAGAATCTTGAGTACACCGTCTTCCAACTGCTCTTATTTTGAAGCCAAATAGTCGAATCAGTACACACAAACTAGTTACTCTCTATTCAACGGATTCCTTTTAAGTCTAAAATGCTCAAAGGCAGATTCTAACACAAAATTTGACGCTTCAACATGTTAATGCTGGTGATTGGTGCATCGAGAATGCTTTGCAATTAGTCTTTGAATGTGTGGTTGACTAATAAGAAGCATTGAATAATTTCAACTCACTTTGCTCTAAAAAATTTGATATTTTCAAATCAATCATATTTCTCCTTGACGAAGTAATCTGTGAGATTACATGTGTGCTCCAGTCTCAAAGAGATTTTTATTTTTTTCTTTAGAATCAGTCATTCCTTAACTTGATTTACCTCCTGGAATTTCGAAGACTCCGACCACTAAGCCATTTAAGGAAAAAGGAATTGTTGTCAATTAATTTCCAGTTCATTTCTTATCTAAAACATGATCGGTTCATGGATATTGATCTTTGCCTATAAGAGCCTTCACCTAAAGTTTTATATTCAACTAGTGCTTCTTAAAAAAATTGTAAATATCTAAAGGAATTTTTTCCAAATTCTATGCATATTTTAATATTTTCGTGTCTATGCATGCCTAATTTTCAATACTCCGGTTTTTAGGACGAATTAGCCCTCC